TTAAAAAAAATAATGTTTTATTTTATGAAAGTATATATATATATATTTGATATTTCAGATTGCCCTCAATCTTTCATCAGAAATAACTGTTTGTTACAAATAAATTAAAATTACTGTTTGTTAGCAAGTAGCATCCATCGCGAGACACGGACGTCACGTGATATGGAAAGTCATTGTTCAGATATTCCTAACTTAAATCTAACTGTAATCTAAATGTAATAAATAATTTAAACGTTGTTTAAAAAATTTTTTAACTATATCTAAAAAAAATGCTTAACTATTGAAATATTTATAAAGATTTAAAATACCTAAGTCTTTATTTAACCCTAGTTTATGTGTATTTAATTTTAAAATCCAATATGTTTCTTTTTTTCTGCGTGTGTATGTATATATATTATGTGCTGATAGCTTCAGGGTAGCATCTCCGACTGATGCCACATCGGTAGGGTTTCGATCCAGTCCTGAAGCTGTCATATGTCTAGCCACACTTATGAGCTTGTATGTGTATTACCATAAATTGTAATAAAATATATATATATATATATATATATATATATATATTTTAAGACATTTTCTGTTTAACATTCTTTTTATAGATACAAGTATTTAAGTAAAAATAAAAAGAATGTTAAACATAAAATGTCTTAAAATAATGTGTGTGTGTGTTACAATATATATATATATATATATATATATATTTTATCATTTACCTTGTTTTTTCATTTTTATATATATATATATATATATATATATATATATATATATATATATATATATATATATATAAAAATGAAATGGACAAATTGACAATTATTTTAAGACATTTTTATGTTTAACATTCTTTTTATAGATACAACTATTTAAGTAAAAATAAAATTAATATTAAACATAAAAAATGTCTTAAAATAATTGTCGGACTTTCTCCATTTCTATATATGAATGAATGAAAATACAAGGTAAATGATAATATATATATATATATATATATATATATATTTGTAATAACACACACAAAAAATATATATATATATATATATATATATATATACACACACACACAAAAAAATATATATATATATATATATATATATATATATTGTAATAACACACAATATATATATATATATATATATATATTGTAATAACAAACAAAAATATATATATATATATATATATATATATATATAGGTACCTCACGAAATCACTAAAAAAAGAGCATAGCTTGATGAAAAAAAGCGTAACCTTGCCGAAAACTAAATTTTATTGTCTAAATGCTTATGTTATTATTAAGAGGAAATACCAAAGTTTTTTTTTTAATTATTTTTAAAATTTTTTCCTTCTTTTTAGAACATTCTAAATTTTGATTAAAAAAACCTTTTTTCTATTTGTATCAGCAGAACTAGTAAATAACAGACAATTTTTAGCACGTTTTTTTTGGTATGACACACATTAATTTGAAAAATCATGCAAAAATAGAAATAATTATTGGATGTTAATGAAACTTTCAGGAACTATTCACAGATGATCGAAATTATCATTTGTTTTTTTTATGAAAGTCATGGTAGAAATATTTTTTAAAAATATTTATTACCCCCCATAACTAATTTTATGAAAACGCTAGAAATTCGATCGCATCGGTTTTAGTGATTACAATAATTAAAAGCACAGGGCTTTGAGTAAAGCAAATCATGTTTTTTTTTGTTTTTAATTGGATACGCAGTACCTGAAAATCAGCTCTGAATTGTAACATACAAAACTCAATAAAACAAAGATATTATTTAATTTCAAATGCTTTTATTTGCTTTTAGCTGTTTTTATGAATATGGACAATATTTTCTGAAAGCAAAAAAAATTTTTCGATGAAAAATGAATTTTTAATACAATTATTTGTTATTTCATTAATTATAATAGATTTTACATTTAAGTTGTTAAAATATTATAAAATTAGTTAAAAACCGCACAGGCTTTCATAAGTGTCCTTATGAGATAGATCTTTTTTTTTATACGTTGTAAATTGTATCATTTTGACTAATCAGAAGATCCCCAGTAATTAAGAAATGTAATTTTGTGCTTATAATCGAGCTGTAATTATAAAATACGGAAGACCAACCAGAATATAATTAAGTTGGCGTTATTTGAGTTAAGCATTGTTCTCCGCTGTTAAGGCCTTTACTTTTGCGAAACACGTATGGAGAAGTTAATTTGATTTTTTCAATTTCAACTGAGAAGGGTACCTACAAGTATCAGTATCATCTTATGAAATTTATATGATCTTATTTTTATATTAATCTCAGTTCGACATTTTTTCCATAAATGAAATATCAAAATTAATAATAAAATGAATGCAAATACAAATAACAGTAGAATGTAATAAATGTACATAAAATTATAGTATTTTATGTACAATTCTGAGAAAAAAATTTCATAAGAAAGGTACCTATAAATTAATTAGATACCTTTCTTAAGAAATATGAAATTTAATGTCACTCTTAACAGTTTTATTTTAATTTCTTTTACAATATATTTCCCATAAAGCATCATAAACATAAAGGTGAAAGCTAAGTACAAAAAAAAAAAAAAAAAAAATTAGACCGCTGAAAGTTTTTCGTTAAAAATAATGGGGTAAATAATTTGTTCACGTAAATGTAAATTATTTCACTTTTCTCCTTCTGTAGAACAAATTAGCCTCATGGAATTCGTAAATATATCATTCATCACATGTCAAGAGACGCTAAAAGTTTTTGACCTGCTTTGTTTTATTTTCAAATTACATCTTTTTTGGCACAAAAAGCTAAGTTAAGTTTGGTTCAAAATATTTTAAATAAACATTATAATTTCTGATTTTCTTAAAATAAGTTTTGAAAAAATGATAATTGATATTTAAAAAAATTTCAAAGTCAGATTTCAGTTTTTTTTTAAAATGGAAAAAAAAATGGTCAATTTTGCTGACTCAAAAAAAACTAGATTTTTAACGAAAATTTCGGACGTGCTAGGAACGATTAAAAATGGAAAAAATACCCCCAAAATACTTTGACCTTTCCTCTTAATAATAAACACTTAGGCGATAAAATTTTGTTTTTCGTCCAAGTTTGGCGTCTTTTTCACCATGCTATGCTCTTTTTTAGCGATCTCGTGGAGGTACCTATATATATATATATATATAATATATATATATATATATATTGATAATTAAGGTGTGCAAAAGTAATGATTCCTTACATTTATGCTCTGTATTTGTATTCTACTTGTTGCCAGTGCAAATGTAGAAAATCAAAATGTCACATGTTCATTTTGCTAAGCTGCATATACTGCAGTCAACCAACGTAGGTCATTGTGCATGCAAAAGGGGTGCAGTTAGCGACTAGATTTTGAAAAAATATGCCAAGATGAAAAGAACTTCCTGAAGCTTTAAAAATGAAAAAGGCAATAAAAAGCTATCAAAACGATTTTGAGTGCACGTCTCTACCGGATGACAAAAGTATTTATGAATGGAAGGCATTTGGTATGACGGCATCACAAACAAGAAATGGCCGTCTGCGAAAAATTACTGTAAGGCCAAGTAGATATCTAGTTTGGCAAGCTCTGGCGAATCCTGCTGTGCTATCCACATTTCTCAAAGGATCTCTAGACAATGTCAGAATCAATGTGTATATGCCTACAATGGTACGAAATCTAAAGGAAGCTGTTCTTCATGGCAGAATGCCTAAAAAAGCCACTCCTTATGAAAAAGCACAAGTTTGGAACAACTATGTCAAAGCTCATATTAATAAGCTAGAAATATTCTAGCAAAAGGTTTTATGGTTGGATGAGACCAAACTCTAGCTTTTTGGGAGGAATGATAGGCGGTATGTCTGGCGAGCTCCTAATACAGCTTTTGAAGAGGAGAATTTAAAGCCTACAGATAACATGGTAGCGGAAGTATTATGATTTGGAAACAGAAAAACAGTACGCATTGTTGACAGCACAATGGTCTCTGCAAGTAACCAAGCAATTTTGAAAAAAGTGTCTTGTCTTCAATTTGAAAGAATGGGTTAAAAAAAAAAAAAAAAAAATCTAAGTCTTGGAACGGCCCAGTCAATGTCCTGATCGAAACCCAATTGAAGATCTGTGCTTTAAATTAAAGATAATACATGCTAGAAACTAGGGTAATATCGAGCAATTGTGGGATTTGGGGCAAGAAGAATGGTGAAAAAAATGATGCTCACTACTGCCAAAATCTTTGTAAAGAAAAAGACTGGTCAATGTTATCACCACAAAAGGAAGCATCACCAAACATTTGATGTCAGGGGTCACTTACTTTTGCACATCTTAATTTTTAATTAATATTTTTATCCTTTCTTAAGAAAAAAGAAAAAATTGAATATATATATATATTTTGGGAGCACATTATTATTTAAAAGTTCTTTGGATATTTGAGTAAACAAACACTTTATTTTTTTTTCTTTGAAATGGTTAAAATAAAAGGAAAACATGCTAGCAAAAGGTCAGACTTTCAAAAGAACAGTACTATCCCTTCACACCGCTATTATTTTAACTACCTTCATTTCTCAGCAACATTTGTTTTAAAAAGCAATGATTACAATTGGAATAAAACTTAAGAAAAAAAGAAAAAAAAAAAAGTGTTTGTCAATTTTATTCCAATTTAACTTTTATTTAATTAATGACATGGTATTATAAAAAAATAATAAATATATATATTCAAGTATACTTTTTTTTTCAAAAAAATGACCAAATTCACTTTCATATGTTTGAGAATTGACAACAATAAAATAAACTGTTTTTTTATTTTAACATCCAAAGAACTTGTAAATAATAATGTGCTCCCAAAATTTCTCAACCCCAAGTTGTTTAAAAAAAATAAAAATGGAATAAAAAAATTATAGTTATCAACAAGCATTGCTGCCATATTTACTATGTGGCCATTAACCCCTGGTGTTATTCCCAGTCGATTGAATCAGGGTCATCAACAGTAACAACTGCTAATAATTTTTGAAGTGTACACGTTATGATTTCTGCAATGAGAAGAAGAAGAAAATGATATCAAGGTTTGTATTTCAGGTGAAATTTAAAATCTGTATCAGCAATTTGAAAAAAAAAATCATTTTACTGTAAGATGAAAGATGGAAAAGACAAAGGAGAGATGGAGATGTGGAAAAAAAGAGGAGTAAGAGGAGAGAGTTAAATGGAGAAAGAGAGAGTAGTTCGGAGAGTTGAAAGATAAAAGGATTTGGGAGTTTTGAGGGAGAGGGCGGAGAAAAATCAAACATAAGATGAGATATCAGAACGTATTCTAGAACAATTGATAGACATAAAGAAATGGACAAAAACTGGAGACTCAAAGATTTGGGGCGGAGACATAAAGATGAGAGAGAGAGAAAAGAAATGGATTTGGTTTGAGAGAGAGAGATGGCATATCAATCTCAAAGAAAGAGATTTAATGCCAACAACATTTTTAGGATAGAATTCGTATGAATAGAAGAATATGTATTCGAGGAGGTTTAGACAAAGAGGTTTATTTGGTTTATGGAGACAACCTCAAGGGAAGGGGCGGAGACATGAGAGAGAGATGGTTAGAATATGGATTCTTGGTTTAATGGAAACATGGAGAGAGAGAAGGTTTGGCGGAAACATGGAGAGAGGCAGAATAAAGGATGGAGACATGGAGAGAGAGAGAGAGCCGACAACATTTTTAGGGGCGGAGACATGGAGAGAGATTTAATTATTTGAAAGAAAATTGTGGAATTTTTCTTAATCCATTTTCTACAGCCACCAACTAATTAATTCAAGGACTTGAAAGGATTAAAATAAAATAGGCATAATCCGTCTAAATTATTTAAAGAAACATGCTTGAATGAAAATATACTGCTTAAATATACATATCAGATGTTGATATATCTCAAGAAAGAAAGTAAAAATAACTTACGTAATCTTTGGTTGAATGCTATGGACTTATTCCTAAACTTGATGTTGATGAAATACAATAAACAACCGATAATGAGAAGACAAAGTGCGAATAAACTTTCATACGGTTTCTGATAAAAGGTCAGTACCACAATTGCTAAACTGACAACACACAAGATTGCAGGAATTCCAATTGGAACCTGAAATGCAAAAAAGAATTTTCATCAGTGTTTTTTTTTTCATTGCATTTATAAAATACCATATATGTTCATGTATTTTTATTCATTTGAGTTATGCACTTAACATCCCTTAACCAACAGGGGTTTATTCAGAGCCAATTTAAGTTGGTAGTATTTGCAATTTTGTCTTGCTTGAAAGGCAAAGCATGTTGTTGCAGCTACTTGTATCACGTGAGTGGTGTGTTTTCTTTTCGAAACATTTTGATATAAAGGTTCTCTTTTAGGATCATCTGCCTATATTTCCCTTTTACAGTAGGGGTTTTATTAATTTCTTTTAAACACCAAAAATATTTAAATATATATATATATATATATATATATATATATATATCTCAAATATGTGGTGCAGTTCAATTTATATTGCAATGAATCATTCATACAAAAACTAGATTAATAAAGTTAATGATATAAAATGGCAAAAACTCTTCACAAACAAAATTTTAAAGTTGCATTAACCTACAAACCACTCAATAAATGTTATGATCCTTGTTTTTAATAACTACAAGTTGTATAAAGGTCTTTTATTTAATCTGCTAGTACGACGTGCAAATTTTCGGGATAACAGTTGAGACATTACTCTATTTATTGAACAATTTAGTTAATGCCACATTGACAGAAAAACTACAACAAAAAAATTCTCAAATTACCATATTAGTAAAAAAGGCACTCTCTTAACCCCCCCCCCCAATTCAACCTTAGCATTGCGACTGCAGGCTCCAAAAGTTTTTATCTGTTAACAATAACACATTTCTATAAAAAATATTTCGATTTGCATTTAATCTTTCGTCTCTGCTACTACCTGGATTTACTGAAAACAAAATAATTTCCATGCCTGAGGATGACTGTATGTACAGTTGAAAGTACTTGCAGATTAAAAAAGACACGGATTATACAACTTGTATTTATTAAAAACAAGGATCATAACATTCATCCAGTGGTTTATAGGTTAATGCAACTTTAAAATTTTGTTTGTGAAGCCATCCTTTTTTTTTGCCATTTTATATCATTAACTTTACTAATCTACTTTTTTGTATGAATGATTCATTATATATATATATATATATATATATATATATATATATATATATATATATATAAAATTTAATTAAAAAGAAAAAACAGACCATTTTTAAGGTTTCATTAGTTATAATTTATTTCATCAGAGATTTATTTTTTCTCTGGATCTTCAGACCTCACTTTCAAGGGTGGAAAAATGAATTTAAAATTTACACTTTTGAAGGGCAGTATTAAGCTTATATAAGGTGACAGAGGGTGGTGATATATATATATATATATATATATATGTGTGTGTGTGTGTGCGCACATGAGTGAGTGACAGAGATAAAAAACTGCTTTAAAGTATGCAATATAGCAGGGGTTGGCAACTCATTCGACCCTGCGAGTCTGATCGTGTTATAATGACAGGTCGCGGGCCGGACGAAGGCCATTAATGAAAAATTAAGGAAAATTACATATGCAGACCCCTGTCAACCTAAATATTTAAAACCATAATGAAAATAAACATTGAGAAATAAAAAAACAAAAAACAAAAGAAAATCTAAAATTAAAAAACAACTAACAAAAATTACTTTTCCTCGAGGAACGTCAAAATACTTCAAAGTGAAAAAAAATCAACCGAAGTGAAATGGATGAAATTATGACGTGTAGGTTTGAAACTGTTATTGAAAATTGTTCCACAAACGAACCACAGACACACACATCAAACAAAAACGAAGCACATATACCCATACATACGAGTACAAATAGTTGCAAACATATACACTTACGTACGTACACATGCGGTATCATCCACACATTCATGAGGCATGTATGTATAATGCACGCGTATGTTTAACTGTCTTTAGATTTCTGCTATCTCGCTGCGAGTTGGGGGGGGGTCGCTGTTGGAGGAATGAAATAGAAAGCCAACTGAGACAACATTGTCCCTTTGAAGCTGTCGCCGGTCAGTCAGTCGGTTAAATCGGCTCTCAGTTTTTGTTTTATGTTTATTTTTTTAATTTTTTATGCTGAAATGGAGTTGATTGGGTTTGATCGTGTTTTTGCGGTCATAGTATTCAAATTCGGTTGGGTGGATCAGAGGAAGATAACAGCAGGCCTTTTGTCGAATTCAAAAGTCTCGTCTCTTATGTTAAAAATAGTCATTGGTAATCAGGCTCGCGGACCGGTCAAAATGCCTCTGCGGGCCAGATCTGGTCAGCGGGCCGTAGGTTGCCGACCCTTGCAATATAACAAACTTTAAAAGTAAAAGTGCTTAATATCAGAAATATAGTGTATGTAAATGTGGACACTTAGGTCATCACCAAACAGCAACAGTCTATTTCATGCTTAAAAAAGCACCGATGACCAAATTTTTTCTTTTATATGATTTCTTGAACTTTCAGGCTGGTAGGTGAAAATAAATAAATATAGTATTTAATAAATAAATGGCATGCCTATTCAAATATGAGCATCCACTGAAAATAATGACTTGACTGACTGCACTTCATGGCCAAGTCAGTAAGGCGTGCTGGGCTCCCTCTGCCCTGGGGGATACAGGTTTGTTTCCTGCCAGAGAGTGTACGTTTTTTTCTTTAAACCTTTACCACATTAATTTCTTTCTAGAATTGTTACCCCTGGCACTGCATTTTTTTTTGAGGGTGCAAAACTATGAACACCTACTGTTTTAAAATTATTATAACTTAATCTTTGTATTGTGCATAAACATTTTAATTTTTGTACACTAATAAAAGAATGAATAAGTAATATTTTGATGTAATTCATTATGTTTTGCATGTATGTTTTGACATTGAAAACAAAAAATTGAAATACAAAATAAAAGCAAATACATTAAAAAATCACTAAATAATTCAATGTACTTTAGCTTTTTTTTTTTTACTCCTTGTGGAGTTCTGGGGGTGCAATCAGAAGCAAAAATCGCCAAGGCTTTTATTTTGTCAAAAAAGTAACGTGTTCTTCATGTTTACATACAATAAGACACTAGTATTTGTTTCTTCTTTCATTCACCCGATTGTTGACAAATAAAGTCATTATTTCGTCCTTTATGAAAAGACAAAATAATTCAGCTTCAGAAAGGCTATCAGGTATATCGATGGTCGCCAGTAGCTTCCATAAAATTAGTCAGCCATGGATGATAGCAGCCGTTATTGGTCATCATCACTTTCCTCACTAGCATGGTTATCATAGTGGTCAAAGATAACCATGCTAGTGACATGGAGGAAAATGATGATGACCACTAGCGGCTACTATTATCCATGCCTGACTAATTTTATGGAAGCTACTGACAGCCATCGATATATATCTGATAGGCTTTCAAAATCATCATTGGAGTTTAATCAAAGAAAAACTCCTAAATAAAGACTTTGTTGGATATTTACATGGCCATTTTTGTTTACAAAAAAAATCGCGAAAAAATTCACGTTGGTTTAATCAGTGTTATATCTTGTGTAAAGTCTAGAAGAATTCAAAATAGCATTGGAAAACGGAAGTTTAGCATCATTTCAAAGCAGTAGTAGGCAATTTTCAGCTTAAAATACTGGAAATAACAGTTGACAAGTGTTTATTTATAGCAACCGTCTCAAGACGGAAGAATGCAACTAGAGTAGCAAGGGAGAGAACTCTACAGTGACTATTGCCACCTGCAGTGTGGTAAAAGGTCAGTAAGATTTCTCAAGCATTCAAGCCAGTAGGTGAAAATAAATATAGTGTTTAATAAATAATAAACACACTGTTTATTCAAATATGAGTATCCACTACAAATAACGTTTAAACTGATTAAAAAACTAGATATAATATTTAATTACCATATTTTCCAGCTTACAAGATACTACAGCTTGGAAGACACACCCTAATATTGGAAAGAAATTTCTAAGTAAAAAAAAGTCATTCTCATACCACAATACATTCACCATGCGTCCCTCACAGACTAGCACCACGTATTGTTTACATTAATCACTTGTCCAATTTTGTTTGTATGGCAATGGCATACTAGTCAAGAGCAGAAAGATTCCCACCGCTGCTAGTAAACAGAGCATGTTTAAGCTCCAGGAAGGTTTATAGTCTTGGAAATACTTGTAACAGCTAAGTACTGAGGTTACATAATATAAAAGGCTGAATTAGATAGATAACTAACATTATAGTGTAATGACTCAACATACAAATCCATGTCCTTATCAGTCAAGGTGACCGTCCAAGCTTACTTGAGCCTGGGTGTTGCCTTACAGTTGTCTTGGAAGATTACACATATTTTTCAGGGTATTTTTTTTTTTAGAAAAAAAAAAAAAAAAAAGTGCGTCTTGTAAGCCAGAAAATACGGTAATCAAGAAAAGCCCAAGTGACTTATCTGGTTGGTCAACTAATAAGTTTCACGTCAAAACACTGATCAGATGTTTGATGAATCTATTGAACTTATTAACAGATTTCATATTGATACACATTCTGAATGGGTGGACACTAATTTTAATTTGCAAATAAAACACTTCAGGCTGTGATAAAATCATTTACCAATTGCTTCTATGTGGGTTGCTTTATCACAGGTAGGTTCTATTGTGTTACATTGGAACTGCTGGAAGCCGAAAAGAGTACAATAAAAAAAAATAAGCACACAGATCTGATTGGCTGAATTTAAAGAAGTATGTTTGACTGTATATTTACCTTAACAGGCCGTGCTAATTCCGGTTGCTTTATCCGGAGGTACACATGCCCAGCAAAGACCATGACAAGAATGGAGGCAAAACCAAATCCTTCCATTTCAATGAGGAAAAATATGTCTCCTGATTGCTGATATGATATTACCAATATGAGCTGAGGAAAAAAATAAAAATAAATAAACAAACAAACATTTTTAGGAGTTGTGATGTCTGCAGGATTGGCATGAGATTCATATATTTTAGGATTATTAGCACTGAAAAAGCGATCGGCATGTCAAATTTAAACCCTGACCAAATTCGTTGCATTCACTCTCAAATAAATGGAACAGGCAGCTTTTGAAATAAACTTCTGTTTCTGACTCATAGTTGCACTATGAGTAAGTCTGAAGTATAGAACATCATGTCAGGTATATCTTGATCTTTGGCTATAGTAATGCCTCTCTAGTTCCAAATGTTTGTTATGATCCAGAATGATGATATTTCATCATTCTAAAAATGACCTTGCCATCAGTGATGATAGAAAATAAGGAGATTTTATCATCCCTGAAATAAAGATAAGAAATTCCATCATCCTAAAAACTTGCCACTAGTAATGAAAGATGAGAAAGATATTTCATCATTCTAAAATCTGATTATAAAAACGACTCTTCATCACAAGTGAAGGAGAACAGTAGAGTAGCAAGTAGCAGTAGTAAAAAGGCCCATGACATATGTATTCTCATATTCTATGAAAATCAAAAATTGACAATCTCAAATATTATCCTAAACAATGAAATTCCCAGAACAAGCAAAAACAAGGAAGCACAAAGTTTTAAAGAAACAAGAGACAGTAACACTGGGAACATTTTTAATACACCATACCAATATCTCTTGTTCATATCACGAAAAAGAAAAATACATATTCTTGTTATTACTGTTTACATGTGTCTCAAATCTCATTGTTGTATATATATATATATTTTTTTAAATTAATTTTGTTTTCAGTAACAAATTCAACCCTATTACTTGTTCTTGTGTCTGTCTGCTGAATGGGAAAACTCTTCTCTCTCTCCAGTTACGGGTTGACAATAACAACAGTCTCAACTCTCTAGCCTTGGTTGTCAAACAGTCTAGCAGAAGGATAATGAATTCAAAACCAGGCATCGGTATGTTAAATTCAAATTTTGTCCAAATTTGTTGCATTCACTCTTGCACAAATGGAACAAGTTAGATCCAGTGACAAGATCCAAAGAGTGTGAGTTCAATACCCGGTTAAGGCAGTGGAGAACTTGGAGAGGAGAATTAACAGGAGATAACTGACATCCATTAAACATGGTATGTGGAACTAGAACAGTCTACCCCAGTGAGCGAAATAAAAGGTTCAGTTCGACATTCCAACCACCTGAAGAAAGCTGGAGCGTACAACAGCAGAAACGTTGTGATAAATATGGCAACAAAGATGAGGACAATAGTCCGAATAATGTAAATAGTGTACATAATACCTCATCTCAGAAATATAGGCAGATTCTGAAGAAGGAGCTTTTGAAATAGGCCCCCATTTCTGACCCATAGTTGTACTATGGATAGGTCAGTAGTATAAAACACCATTTTAGGTATATCTTAATTGTTGTCTCTATAGTGCTGCATCTCCAGTTTAGTTCAAGGAAATGGGCCACAGTGCTACAACACTGTTGCCCTCTATATGTTTGTTCTAATAAACTTAAATTATGTAATAAAATAATTTTCAAGTGTCTTGTGTTTCTAGTGTGCATTTTTATGTAAAATTTATGTGCAGACCATTTTTATTTTACATAGGGTTATTTTTTTATCATTTTGGAGAACTTTTTTAATTTGTGTGTACACTTATGTGCAGAATTTCTTTTGCCGAATAAAAGTTTATTTCATTTAACAGCTTTGGTTTATAAAACAAGCTGTTTTGAAGTTTATATGGAGAAATAATCACTGTTTATTTGTTCTAGAAATTGTAAAATCAGCTTTTGCTAAAATGGCTAGGAAGTGGCTATCAAAAAATCATCAATCAAAAAGGGGCCATGAATAAAAATAGGTTAAGAATCATTGATCTAGAATAACTAAATATAAAACCAAAAATAACTTAAAGAAAAAAAAGAAAAAAAAAAGAAACAATTAAAAAATCTCTTATGAGGAAGGGTAAAAAAAGTTTAGTAAGGGAGGTAACTCACAATGACAAGTAAAGATGGTGCTGGTGTTAAATTCGGAACTGTTATCATTGATATGATTTTGGGCATGTGATTATTTTGGGCTCCAACAAAGAATAACCTGTAGATAAAAGAAAGAAAGAAATTAAAAAACAAATTCTTTAAAATAATCCTGAAGAAGAGCAATTTCTCTATCCATTTGTATTGCACTTGTGCCATTTAATGTACATGCAAAAGCATGTAACATGTGCAGTTTAACAGAGTTTGAAATAAGACATTGGAATGATACATTAAGTCAGGACAACCCATACCCTGTGCAGATCCGTTGGTTTCAATTACTATGGGGAATGACTGCAAAATACTCCTCACTGTCTCCAATTTATAGACAAGCCATATAGATGTGTAGAGTGGAAGTCAACTGTTTCAAATCAAATGATGAAAATAGATGCACCACGCAAAGGCTCCTCATAGCCTTCCAGTTTCAAACATATTTCAAATTGATAAAAATAAAGAATAGCCAATAAAATCAGCTCCCACTATAAATAAACATAGGCTTCTGGAGCCTACACGAAGCCATATAAACCAGACATCCATTCAACTTGGCAGAAAGGCTGACGAAGCATGAATCAACCTCGTTGTCTGGTCTTTCTTACCAAAAAGCAACAGTGGACTCTCTTTGATTTTGTCTCCCAATTTTACTTTCTTCTCCACTGAAAGACTATTTATGTTCACTTGCTTTTCAGTCAGAGAGAAGAACATTCTAGATACAAACTTTTATTTTGTGATAGTAGTTACAGTTAAGAATTTGTGTATTTTATGTTAAATAAATATCATTTTATTTGAACACACAGAAGCCCTTTCTCTAATTTTTTTATTCAACAAATAGTGACTCATGGAATCTTTTTTCCCAATAGATGCATGCTGGGATATCTTCCTAGTCAATAAGAGAAAGACTACTTCTTGGTCTCATCTGACTTAGTTTTCTTCTTTCTTGTCATGAAACTTGTCTGTATTCCCTTTTGAGTGTCAACACCATTCTTAGTTTGTGAACTTTTTACCTTATTACTGTTAATTTCTTCCTATCCAATAAAAAGGGCAGTTCTCAATTTCATCTGACTCAGTCCCAGTGTCTTGTTTTAGAGCCAGAATGCTACATTCACTTATCCAAACTTGCTCTTGTGTGTCAACCCTAATTCTTAGTTTGTGAACTTCTTGCCTTATTTATTATTATTGCTTTGCCTTATTATTGTTAATTTGCCTTACATATATTGTTTGCTTGCTTTATGTTATTTTTTGCCCTGTTCTGTTTTTTTTGTAAGATTTATTTGTAGACATCTCTTACTTGTTTGTGCTTCACTTATTGGCTGTAAAATATAGGAGTTTATATCCTATAAATTTTTTTTTTAAGCATTTCACCCCAAGCAAGGCGGGAAGCCACTAGGACGCAAGGGGTTACAGAAAATATAGAGCGAGATCAGATAGGAGTGATAGAAGAGGGTAAGAGGAGAAGGGTAGTGGATAGATCAAGGCAACTGGAGATGTCGATTGACATTACACTTGAATAGCTGGAGATTATAGCTCTCAGGGAAACTGGAATAGGAAAGGGAGTTCCACAGGCAAGAGGTGCGAGACATGAAGCTATTAGAGTAAAAGAGACGGCTACATTTAGGAGTTTCGACAGTGAACGGGTGAGAGTGGGATGCCAGCCTCGTAGGGCGCTTGCTCATGAAGTCTGGGAACCAGCGAATGCAGCTCCTCGGAGCAATTATCATGAAAGTATTTGTAGAACAGACAGAGAGAGGTGACGGCATGTTTGTGAGAAAGTGACTGTAGACGAGATGCCAGAGCAGGGCCAATTATATTGCATATCCGCCTCTGGAGCCTATCAAGAACCCCAAGGCAAAGAGAAGGGGCTCCAGAGCATATATGGCAGCAATACTCCATGCAAGGGTGAATGGTTGATTTGTATATTTGAAGTATCGATTCCGGGGAGAAAATTTCCTGGCGCGGCACAGGGAACCAACTTTCCTTGCGGTGGACGAAGCAATTGACTCAATGTATTTGTTCCATCTCAGGTCAGCAGTCAACGTGAGACCAAGCAGCCGCAGAGAGTTGCTCATGAGAAGTTGAGCATCAGACATTCTAATGGAGGGCAGGGAAGTATCTCTGTGGTGATTAATAGAGAGCAGTTTTGTTTTTGAAGCGTTAAAGTTGACCAGCCAATTCCTGCCCCAGTTCACAACCGATTGGAGGTCCTTTTCGAGACGCATGGCCAGGTTTTAGTTTTGTCAGTGACACTAGATTTGTTTTTGAGGCAGGAATAAATTGTGGTGTCATCCGCATAGATGCCAACTTGGGAATTTATGGCGTCAGGAAGGTCGTTTATGTAGATAAGGAATAGAGTGGGGCCTAGTATGGAGCCTTGAGGAACACCTGCGTTCGTGGGATAGGAACTGGAGGAGAATCCGTTGAGAATGACCTTCAATTCATGGTTTGACAGGAATGATTGTATTAGGTCAAACAATCGACCTATAATGCCATAACCCTGGAGCTTACGAAGAAGGCCAGCATGCCAAACCCTATCAAATGATTTGGATATGTCTAGTGCCACGGCACGAGCTTCCCCGTTATTTTAGCGCTTCGGTAGATAGTTTCAGTGATGGCCATAAGCCGTCAGCTGTAGATGGACAGCGGAAGCCATATTGCTTGTTTGAGGCAGATCATGGGATGTGGTGGTTAACCACCTCGGTATTGATTAGGGCTTCGAAGACTTTGCCGAAGAGGGGTAGGAGACTGATAGGATAGTAGTTAGAAGGGTTCTTGAAGACAGGAACAATCGAAGAGGACTTCCAGCAGTCCGGAAAACAAGATTCCTTGAGGCAGTAGTTGTATAGTTTAGAAAGGGCGGGTGCCAGTTCAGGCGCGCATTTCTTCAAGACAATGGCTGGTATCCCATCTCCACCACTAGCCTTGTTGGGGTTTAAATTGAAGACAACGCCCAATACCAGAGACGGGGTTATAGATAGCCCACTCAATAGAGCCTCAGTTCTAAGAGGGAAGTCGGGTATGGGTATACCGGAAGAGTCGAGCGTTGAGTTGAATGAAAATTTCCGAGCAAAGCATTCAGCCTTGTCGGCAAAGGAGGTCAGGACTTCGAACTGGTTGAACAAAGGAGGTATAGAGGGTTTGCAATTGTTCAATACGCTCTTGCAGAGACGCCAGTAATCTTTGGAGCCAAATTTGCAAGATGCAATACGCTTCTTCATCCGAGTCACAACAATCAGTCTATTATTTTGTCAATGTACAATTTCACCACCATTATTTCATGTGAGATTTTCTTGTAGAGACTTTATTAAATATAGAAGTAGACAAAACACTAATAAGGAAAAACCACACAAATGCATTCTGGGATTTCTTCCTAGCCAATAAGATAGTTCCAGTCTATCTTGTTTTGAAGACAGAATGCTATGTTTGTTTATCTGAATTCACTCTTGTATGTCAACACCAACTCTTAGTTGGTGAATTTTTACCTTATTACTGTTAATTTAGCCTTGCATATTTTGTTTGGTTGCTTTATATTATTTTTGCCATTCTTTTTTTTTTCTTTCTCTTGCTTATTGAAAACCTCAAATGTTGTAAAGAGAAAATTATAATAAGCAATCAAATAGTGTTTAATATTTTTGTTGTAAATTCTCAAGGACAACCCCCCCCCAAAAAAAACGTATAAATTCACTTTTCATTAGGTACCACTTAAGAAAACTAAGATTTAAAAGGTTGGACTTGAAGATGGAAGATATCTGATGAAGTATGTATAAATGGGATATTTGAACACAAATTGGATGTTAAAAACTTTGACAAACATTGATTTCATGTCTGCAATAAGACGTAGTGTCAAAAGGAAGGTTTTTCCCATGTCATCGCTATTATTTTAACTACCTTTACTCTTCGGCAATGTTCTTTATTTACCATTTTATAAAGAAATAAATATGAAAACAAATTTTTTTATTCATAAATTTCTAAAAATGTCTATCAACAAAAGGACAAGAAAATTTAAATAGAATCATAACAGTGAGTAGTTGTAATTTTAAATTTTGAAAAAATGTATTTTCTACGTATTTCTTTCATTTGCTCTCACCAAATAAAGTCACTAAAATGGGTACTTTGCCATGGTGAAATGGTTAGTCCTCTTGTGTTGATAGTAATTATATTTGAGTAGACAGTTCAATCCTCACTGGGTGCACCATACTTTCGGCCTTGTGCCACAACTAAGTTATGCTTAGTAAATTGACATAAAATTCACTAAAATAGCTTGAGAACATCTGAATTTTTACTCCCTCCGCCCAGTTTTTGAGAATTGATAACAAAATGTTAAACATGAAAAAAAAAAAAAAAAAAAAAAAATTCCAGAAGCTTTTATTTTAGTTTTAATTTCGAGTTAATAGATTAAATTTAATATTTCCAATAAGCAAAATACTTTGCTGTATTTCAAAAACTAATTTAAATTGACTGGAAAGAATTTTTTTTCCCGCTAAAATAGATGATTAGTGGCTTCTTTTAGTTGTCTTTCATCACAATATAATTCTCTTTATTAAAAAAACCTCCAAAAATAAAATATACTTTTCTGAAACTATTTGAGGAATATTAGCTGATTTAAAGTAATTAATCTGATTTGAAACAAATATAATTTAATTTGAGCTTAAAATATCACAGAAATTCCTTTTTAACTCAACAGTAGCTGTTTATTTAAGGTGTTGGCAGGTTTGACAGTATGATAACAGATTGAGGTTATAGGCATTAAAAAAGTAATTGAATTAATGGGAGCACATTTTATATATAATTTTTAAGTACTTAGTAATCTTAAAAATTAAAAAAAAATATTCTTTGTAATCTAATGTTTATTGAATTTTAAATATATTTAGCTGTAAATTTACTATAGTTATTGCACTTATTTTCTGGTTATGTTGTGTATGGTTGACCATATATAGAAAAAAAAAGGCACGTTTATACATATAAAAAATTCTTAAAAAATATTGGTTCTTGAAGATTTGTATTGTGCTCTTTTATTTGTTGAATTATTGGCAGTGCCTATTATCTATTTATTAGATGTGTAGTGTTTATTTA